CTGGCTCTTTTAAGCCCAAAGCTGGAGGATTCAAGCTCCACGTGGTCTTGCCTGAGCCTGACCTGCCTAACACAAAGACTCTGGGTCAGTCAAGCTAACCAGTTCCCATCCTTATTCCAAACACATCAAGCTAACTAACCAGTTCCCATCCTTATTCCAAACACCTAGCACTTCCTTGTCCGCAGCATTCTTCTCATCCCCAATGCTAAGGAAGCATGAGATATAGTAGGAGACAATGGACAAAGATAAAGAACCCCCAGGCTCTAGTGAGCCACCTCCTTTTCTCAGAAGCCACCACCTTCTGCTGAGGGTTTCTGGCAACCATCACTGTCTACATTTTCTGGGTCTCCCATCTCCCAGACAAACCTGGTCTCCATCCACTATCCTAGCACACAGGAGGCCAAGAACCTATAAATATTACTTCATTTGACTGGATTTAAATGAGAATAACTGAACTCAGGAAATTTTAGCTCTGCTTTTATTCCATCAGATTAATTTTACTGAATTTACTGGAAAGGCAGCCAAATAGCAAAAGGACCTGGGCAAGAAGAGCTCATTGGGCTCAAGTGTTAAAGTGACCTTTTAACACGTCACTTGACCCATGGGTTTATGCAGTAGAACCTACGGGAGAAGGGGAAACACAATTTCCACTTCCAAAAGCAGAGCGAAAGGGAAGAAAAGGAAACTTAGAGATTTCCAAACATCCGGGAGCTATTTTTAGAAATGAATGACTTTTCCACTCACTTTTCTTAAAGAAAAAAAAGAAAGATATTAGACCAAGAACAAATCAAGAAATGGTTGTTGATAATCTAAATGGAAGAAGATTCTTACAGAAGTCCACTCTTTATGGCTTTAAAAGCAAGACACTCCTCTATGTATATACAAACACACACACACACAAATACACACACACCCCTATAATCTTAAAGAATGAAAAATGGAAAAATCATTATTTATCAACGTTGATAATAATCCCAAAATAGACCCTGTGGGATAAATATACTAAGTTGAGTTGCCTGCATGCTCAGTCGTGTCCAACTCTTTGCAATCCCATGGACTATAGCCTGTGAGGCTCCTCTGTCCGTGGGATTTCCCAGACAAGAATACTGGAGTGGGTTGTCATTTCCTTCTCTAAGGGATCTTCCCGACACAGGGATCGAACCCATGTCTCCTGTGTCTCCTGGACTGCAGGCGGATCCTTTACTGCTGAGCCATCAGGGAAGCCCAAAATACAGTAAACCTCCTATTAATTCACACTGAACACAGGTTCTAAGAAGACAGCAATGGTGTCATCTGGACCTGTTATATGGGGCTTCAACCTGGCAAAATTCGAGAACCATGGATTGTTTTCTCTTTAAAGCAATAACCTGTTCAAAGGACTTTTGATATATCACAGGATTTCTCCATGTGGCACAGGTCAAACCCCAGCTAGTGAACAAATGGATCCCTAAAAGCTTTTGTCATGATATAATCTGGGCCTGCCACCATCATCCTGATCGTTTATACTCTGCTTTGATCTCAAATGCACTATGTCCACCACTCTTAAAGTGCCTGAGGTTGGCATTTCCAGTAATGTACAGTCCCAACTGAGCTATGGAAAACAGAACAGTAAATTTCAACCACTCAGTCCGTCTAAAGGTTAGTAACAATACAACCTCAAAAGAAGCAGACATATATACAACCATCAAAGGCACTGAATTTTTCCAGGAGAGGCAAAAATGTTCGTCCCGTATTTTCCATCTAAATGGTAAATACCTTTTTATAAAGTCGCCATTGACCTCCAAGTTAATATATGTGGAATACATATGTGCCACTAATGTAAACCACACGCAACTCACCCACAGAAAATACCAGTCACAGAAATGGTTAATTAACTTTATTGACTGGTTGATTTGATTTTTTTGGTTTCACCATGCGGCATGTGGAATTTTAGTTCCCCGACCAGGAATCAAACCTGTGCATTGGGAACAAGGAGTCTTAATCACTGGACTGCCAGGGAAGTTCCAACTGTTTATTTTTAAACAAAGTTTTGGGGTATGACTCCCAGAAAACTATGAAAATTATATGCACAGTACTGATCTGCAGAGATAGTGAATTTAAACTTACAGTGAGTTCATAATCCAACTAAAAAAATTCTGTTTTGATGTCTACTACCATATGTGAAACAGACCGCCAGTCAAGGTTCGATGCATGAGACAGGGCGCTCAGGGCTGGTGCACTGGGATGACCCTGAGGGATAGGATGGGGAGGGAGGTGGGAGGGGGGTTCAGGATGGGGGACACATGTACACCCATGGCTGATTCATGTCAGTGTATGGCAAAAACCACTACAGTATTGTAAAGTTATTAGCCTCCAATTAAAATAAATTAATTTTAAAAAATTAAAAAATTCTGTTTTGAAAATACTGAGATTTTTTTACACATCTGTAGCCACATCTGTAAAGATATTTCCCTAGGTTTGCAACCTCTTTGTTGTAATATGAAAAAGAAAGTACAGCTACAATAATTCACCAACATGCCCTGAGCTGGCAATACAAATGCTGTTAGACACAACACTGAATGGAATTATTGTACAACTCTAGAAGAGTTTGTTCACAACCCTTGGCCCTCGGTTACCTTGCTTACAGCAGCATATTTTACGCTATTACAGCTTTCATAAATTATATACAAAATGCTTTCAGTCAGCAAGAATCTTCACCTAACCGACTACATTTATCTATTTCTCCATAATTTCATTGTCTTTAAGAACCTATTTCTTTGCCTCTTCTGACAGTTCTCCATTTGGAAGCTGTTTGGGGAAAGTCTTCATTTCTTGAATACCGTTTTCCGGTCGTGTGAATCAAACTCGACTCAAAAAGGGTTTTAAGTGTCAGATGCACAAGGAGAAAATGCTGTGCTCCAACACACAATTTTTTCCATATCATAAAAATCAATCACAACCTTAAAGGATAACCAGTCACTAATAAAAATCGGCAGGGCTCTGTTTTGAAAGGAGGAGGAGAATGACTATTACAGCATTTACACCCTTCCGTAGACTCCACTTAAATGTTTGTGGCTTGCTGAACATTCCATACATATTTCGGGCAAGGTATTATGGGAGCTGAAGTGCAAGCTGTCCCCTACTGAATTTTCACTCACTATAAAAACAATGTCTCATAAAACTGTACACATGTTTTTACTTTACAAAAAAATGCAAAACATCCACTTTTGTTCACTCCATCGACGCTCTAAGCATTAGAAACTGGACTTTTTAAAAATCTGTAGCATGAGTGATGTCCGAAAAGGGTGACAATGTCGTACGGTAACAGCTTTCTGGAAAGAGGAACTCAGGCAATGTGTATGAAATAAACAGAAAGGAAGTTTCTACCAGCTGTCTTTTGTGGGGTCAGCTCACCTATGTCTTGAATTGTGCCGATAAAATTGAAATTCTTGCATTTATAATTTTCCTCATGAATCTACACTGCAATGTGACCACAACTGTTTTATATTATCCTCATAAAATGGGTCTTCACCTTTTCTAAGCAAAACAGTACTTTTAATTGGTTCATTTTCCAGTTGATTGGATTTTTAAGACATACAACATAGAAGGGCACCACATTTGAAGCAGCTCTACCAACTCCAGAACCTTCCAAGGCTTGATCAGACAGCTGTGGCTCTAGGCTTTAGATAAAATTATAATATGATCTCACCTAATTTTCAAAATAACGAAGCACCTTTTTAAGCCAATAAACTGTGCTATAATTTCTCTGAGTTTCTGAGTCCAGAAGTTGGCCAGGTTCAAAGAGAATGTTAGGGAACCATGAGCCTTTTGCCTTTCTTTGTCTTTCCCTATTTGAACCTAGAGAAATCTTCAAACAACAATTCAGCAGCTTCCCTCCTGAAAAGTTTATTTTCAAAGGCCAGTGCCATGTAGCGCTGCCTTTCCTGTGCAGGTAGGAGGATGTAAGAGCCTGTCACCACGCTGGGCCTTTTCAAGTCTTAAAATCATTTGGGAAGCTTGCAGTATTTCCTTTCTGGTACCCAGGCCCAACCTGGAGAGAAGCTGCTCCAGAAAGGACAAGATATCAGATAATCGCTGGAATCCCTGGGTTTCAAGAGAATCCCGAAATGCCTCTCCCCAAAAGCAGCTGAACCACTGAAACCAACCAGCAATGGAACAAAAAGTTACCGAAAAAGTCATTACGTGAAACTTAATGGCAATCTAGCACTGCTTTCAGAAGCATCCGTTTTTCACTCCGGGGGATTCATTCACATGAATAATGAGACAACTGAAGGCTCTCTTCACATCTTGCACAGAAAGGAAACCTAAAATTCAACTCTTGTTTTCCCTTTATCCCAGAAGCATATGGGTCTAATCACAGTCCATTCTGGCCGCAGTACACAAGGCTTTTTCAACCAGAATTTGAAGTCACTTTCTAAGGCGCTGAAGAGTAACCACCCCAGTTTGCTGGTTACTCCAAAGACTCTGAAGTGTCCCATCTGGCACAGTCTCCGCTGGAAACTAGGCTGAAGCCGCCAGACAAGGAACCCACACCACGAGGCTGGGACGCACGGCTGTGCTACAAGATGACAGCTCATCTGGCCACCGCGGGGCTGAGGGGCGCCTGTGGGCCCACAGTCGGGGGCGGTGGGCCGCAGAGGCCCGGCAGGGATGGGCGAGACTGCGGCGGAAAAAGGAAGATGGCCATCCGTCAGCCCCTAGAGAGGAAATTCCAGGCGCCCAGCTCCCAGGCATCGGTCAGCGGGTGACGTGAGGGAACCAAGTCAGAGTGTCCGTCCCGCGGTGGGAGCCGGGGCTCCGCACACCAGGGGCTCGAGGCCGGGAGAGGGGGAGCCTCGATCTTCGGCCAGGGTCCCGGGGGTGGGGGCGCCCGGATCTTCTCCGGGCCCGGAGGACGCACGATCTTCGCCCAGACCCGGAGGCCCCCCGGGTCCTCGATCCTCTCCCTGGGCCCAAAGTATGGGTCGCCCTAACCCTGGTCCGCGCCCCCCTCCCCTTACCGGTCGCGGGGGTCGATCCACGACGTCTGGCGCGTGTTGTGGTCGATGTAGAAGACTCGGCCATCGTAGTCGCGCGCCTCCTCCCAGCCGGCAGGCAGCGGCAGCTCGGCGCTCTCCCGGGCCCGAGGCGGTGGCGGCGCGGAGGGCGCCGAGGGCGCGGGGGGCACGGGGGCCGCGGCGGGGGGCGCGGCCGGCGGCGGCTCCCGCGGGGGCTGTGCCGGCTGCGGTGGCTCCCGCGGGGCCTCGCGGGGCTGTCCCCGCCGCCGCCGCCGGCCGCCGCTCAGCCACGGCATGACGGCGCGGGCCCCACCGCCGCCCGGCCGCCCCACGCGCGCCGCCTCGTCCGCCAGCACTAAGGCCCGGCGCTCAGGGCGCGGGGGCGGCCGCGGGGACCCGCCCGCCGCGCCCGGTGCATCCTCTGCCCGGCGCCCGCGCACCGGTGCCCGCCTGCCTCCTGTCGCCCGCCGCCCACTCGGCCCTGCGCTCTGCCGCCTGCAGTGCCTGGATCACTCGGGTTGCCGCCGCGCGTGGAGTCACAGTCCCAGAGCTGCCGCAGCCGCTGCCGGCAGCCCCTCAGTTCCCGCGGCGCGCCCGGCCATCTTCGTTTCACAGCACCGCCTTAGGGGCGGGGCTACGCAGGCCCCGCCCCCGTCGGTGGACCCGGCTCTCCCTCCACCCCTTAGTCCTTGGCGGCTCCTCCCCCGCTTGCTGCAAACCCTTCGATCTCCCTTGGCTGCTCCGCCTCCAATCTCCCTTGGGGGCTCCTTGGCTCTTGGCCCCTCTGGCCCCCACCCCCTCACCCCGGCCCGCTACTTCTACTCCTCCTCCCCCGCTGGCTGCTCCGACCCTCCCTACGCTCGCCCCCTTCTCCTCGGTCTTCCCCTCCTGCTCCGCGCGCTCCTCCCTCTTCTCTCCTCCACCACCTCCTTGGGCCTCGCCGGGAAACCGCACGGGGGCCAGGATGGGCGCCGCCGCGTCCGTCCGCCCCCGGGCCACCGCGGAGAGGAAGGAGGGCCGGGAGGTTGGCGGCCCCACCCGGGCTGCGGACGCGGCCTGCCGGGGGCTGACTCCTGGGACCCAAACAATTCCCGGGGGAGAGGGCGGTCACCTCGCTGCACCCATTCCCAGGCCTTGAATGTCTGGGGTCCTCCTCTCTGCCCATTTGATGGGGGAGGGGAGCTGCGCCTTAGGTCTCCCAAATACCGAGGATGGCCCCCGCGAAGGTGGGTTCGTCCCCTGAAGGGAAGTTGAAGGAGCTCCCTAGCTGGAGGGGGAACCTGAGGCCGGTCCAATGGGCTGGAGCCTGGGGGACACCTGGAAGTGGGGAGCTGCTTAGGTAGCCACTTCTCGTCCCTGCTAGGAGAGCCCCAGCAGGGTTGATGCCAAGTCCCGACTCCAGGTCAAACCCCTGACCTGCCCTGAGCTCTTCTCTCTTCCAGTTTGGGAGATCCAATGGTTTGAGTGGAGACCCAAGTAGGCCTCTGCTTGAGAGGAAGCCAGGTCAGCTCCTAAAACATGAAACCTCTATGGCTATTGGTATTTTATGTTACATGCTCAACTCGTAGCTGGAGAAATTGAAGTCCAAAGACAGGGCTGGCTCTCCTTGCTCCAAATTCCCCAGTTATTTAGTGCCCCAGATCTCTGGACACAAGACAATGCCAGGAAACTCAGGAAAGTATCAGAGAGGTTTTAAAGCACTGTTACAATGATACAAAAAGTTCTAATAAAAACCCTAACAGCGATCCAAATCTAGCTACATAGGGGAAGCAACGGGAGGAAAATCTCCCCAAATGCTCACAGCAGTTTGCATTCCTTCAGTGGGATGGTTGCTTTTTTAGTTATTTGCCTTCGAAATGGTTTGTAAAAGGGTTCTATTCCTTTTATAAGGGGAAAATTGTTTTAAAAAGGAATGTGCAGGCATGGAGACTGTAATTGGGACACGTCCGAAGGAGGCCTTTCCGCCTCTTCTCCCACCCGAGCACAGAAGCTTCCTTGCTTCCCTAGAGTCTACCCCCACCCGAATGTCATATGCCGGAAATTCCACCGTTGGAGTCCTTTTAGTGAAACATGCACAGCTATTAAATGTCCAAGGGAAAGGGGCACAGAGTATCAAAAGGGAAAGGGGCACAGAGTATCAAAAGAGCAAATACGTTGTGATCTTGCGTGTTCCAGAGAATGGCCCAGTGCTGAGGATCCCCGCCGTGACATCTTCCCTTCTGATTGCCCTGGTTTATTACCAAGGAGGCTACCACCGCCTTGTGCCCCTCCCCCTGCCCACGCTGCAGTCACCCCACCACCCACCATGGCCAAGCTGAAGCCCCATTCCCGCCCCGCCCTCCCAGGCATCGTGTCATCTCAGAATTTCACAAATCTGGGCGCTATCACTCGAAATTATCCTGAATGGGGTTGGAGTGCATTGGAGTGATGCCAACCTCTGCAGAGAGAGAACACCCACACACATCAAAGGACTCACAGAAGGAAAGGCAAGATGAAAAAGTATCAGATAAAGAGTCAGGGGTGGGGGAAGCTACAGCCCATGAGGAGCTAAGAGGCAAGTGTTGACCGGCCTTTCACTGACGATAAGATCTTCTTCTGGACTCCTTTGGACTGGCGGTGGACCCACAAGGTGCGGCGATGCTGCGGAGAACAGGAAAGAGTCTGTGCGCCCCTACCCCTCAAGTCAAGGACTAAACCCAGAATTAGGCACCTGGGACTGTGACTTCTCTACAAACCAAGCCAAGGTGCTGGCTTCAGATTCAGAACTCAGGGGAGGCCTTAGGAGACTGAAAGGAAGATGGTGTAGATGAGGAAACTGAGGTTCGGGTCTTTAAATTTCCAAGTCCCGAGCCCTCGCACCTTGGCACATGTAGCTGCCAAGAGACAGTCTGCTGTGCTTATTCTTTGAAACACTTAGCAAATATACACCATTTGATCATCATGACAACATCTACAGGTATTCCTAATTTCGTTTGCACATCAACAGAAGAGAATTCAGAAGAAATGTCATGCATGCAAGTGGAGACACACTGAAGCCCCTACCTGAAAAAGCTTCATCCACAGGCCCACACAGCATCCCAGGACCTCTCTGACTCAGAGAAGCCAAGCAGGCCCACCTCATTTGTCTTCCTCAAATGAGGCAACTAAAGGAAGAAACTAGAACATGGGATGATCGAGGCCTGTGTATTGCTCCATCTTCCCTTTTGACTTGTAATGTTTGCCCCAGGCAGAAGCTGATGGTCTTTAAAGACCTGTGTGGGGCTTTGGGATGCAGGAGAAATTGATGGAGACTGTCTCGAAGGGACTGTCACCTTCCGGCTTTGCCATAAATCGGGAAGAACTGAGTGCGTGTGTTATGTGTTAGGGAGAATAAGGCCAGTCTTTCTCACAGTCGAGTGGGGCTTTCCATGTTGGACTAAAAAACACAAGCACACATAAAAGTGTGGGGAGAGGAGTCTTTCCTCTGAGCTGAAAACACAATTATGCATTCTTTACTGCCTCCATATTCAAACAACAGCCTTGCCAACAACAAAAGTACAAACATTGTAGTGACCGCTCCTCCCACCAAGATTTCTGATGGAAATACAGCTCAGGAAAAATCCACTTAGGCCCTGGGTACTGGTGATGCGAATACTTGTTCTTCTCGCAGACCCTCTGGGAAATCCCTTTGCCCTAACTGTGAAAATCTGCCCTCAAGTGGAGCTTGCAGATTATTTTCTTTAAAATGCTTGTTAAGGAGCCAATCCAGCACACTCCTTGCATGCCAGGCAAGCATACAGAATTGGAAGGTTTTTTACTTAGATTCCACTTTCTCTTCCCAAAGGAGAACCTTGACTTATCAAGGAAGGGACGAAACTGCCTCTCTCCACTTTGAATACCTGAGAAACTTCTGGAAAAAGGGAGCCCTGGGAAGCTTGCAATCGTCATGTTGAAAATGAGAGAAATAAATACTGCCAGAGAAGTCTTGCTTGCTTGTATAAACAATCGAGTGTTCTAGGAAGTGACACATTGGGTAATTCTACACAATGTGCTGAGAGGAAAACGGAAATGGGCAGGAGTGGGTCTGAAGAAGAAATGGCTCATTGTTTGGCATTCTTTAAATGCTGAAATAGTTACTCAATGATGGGCGCTTCCCATATATTTAAATAATGCAAATCCCCAAACTGTGGGGAAGATTAGATGGAGTTCTGGCTTATTCCTGTCTTGCCGGTTTCGAGACTGCAAAGGCAGAGAGCAATGCAGACATCTCTAATCCAAGACCTCTCCCCAGGCTTGGGAACTAAAAGGGGTTGTTGTTCAGTCATTCAGTCGTGTCCGACTCTGAGACCCTATGGACTGCAGCACGCCAGGCTTCCCTGTCCTTCACTATTTCTGGGAGAAAAGGGGGTATGTGGGGTTATACCCTGAGGTTTTCTTTCATGGCTTTCAGTCTCTTATGTGACTTGTGATAGGAAAAGCCCTTGTTTCACTTTTGAGTGTGGAAGGGGACCAAGGGAGTGCTTTCCTCAAATGGGACTTCCTTGATTGGGGAAGATCTGTGCAGTTTTGAGATGAAGTTTTCTCACGGCCTGATCTTCCGCTCCAGAGAGGTGCAGAGTATTCCAAAAGAGTCAGCTGTGTGGATGAACCAAGCAGCCTGTTTGGTCATTTTAGTGCTTTCTGCTGCTATGTGTTGGCTTCTCCATGCATAGCAATGTCCTTGGCATCAGTTCATGGCTGTCATGTTGTAGGCGGACTCCCCATTTGTACCTGGGTTATTAAACTTCAGGTTTAAAGAAAAAAAAGAAGACCAATTTCTCATCCAAACTTAGAACGTTTGCTGTCACCCACTTCCTTCCTCTCCAAGTCTCCCCTCCCAAAGCTATATTTTTACTTCTCCTCCTTCCCAACCCTTGGGTAATGTTCGACAGAATGCTAGCGAGCCAAATGGAAATGTATTCCAGGCGAACCATAATTTTCAGAAGACACAGCTGCCATGAGCCGGCATACTACACATGCTTCCTCCTGGCTGGGTTCTCTCCTGTTTAGGATTATGACTCTGGTCCCCTGTGGATTTGGAAAAACAGATTCTTCAACTGCAGACCTCTGCTTTATGAGCCAAGCAGACCAGCTTGGAAGTCTCAGGCTTACAGAAACAAGAGGGCAGATTTATCCGACACAGAAATGAGCACTTTCTGGGTTATTAACAACTTTTTTTTTTCATTTGATGACACCAGCATTATAAATCAGTCTCTTTTGTAGCGTGAATGGAACAGTTTTGGAACACAGGCAACGTCATTAGATCCTGGAACAACAAGCTCGAGATATTTGTTACATACCAGTGCTTCTCAACCGGGGTGACTGTGGCCCCCAGGCGACATTTAGCAACATCTGGAGACATTTTTGGTTGTCATAACTGGATGGAAGGATGCTCCAGGCATCCAGTGAGTAGAAAGAAGCCAGGGATACTGCTCAACATCCTACAGGGCCCAGGACAGCCCCATAACAGAAACTCATAAGACCCAAATGTTGCTAGTGCTGAGGTAGAGAAGCCCTGTAATATACATATAATTGATGGTAACATTTGTTGTACCTAGGCTTCATAGTGGGGAAATCAAGGTCCAGAGAATATAAGTAACTAGGGCAATGTGATCTGGCTATTGCTAAAAAGCATCAACCATCTTATCTGACCTCTGTATTAGTCAGAGTTCTCCAGAGAAACAGAACCAATGGGATACATATATCAAGAGATTCATTATAAGGAATTTGCTCAAGTGACTATGGAGGCTGAGTAAGGAAAAGTCGAGTTAGCAATCTGGAAACCCAGGAGAGCCAGTGGTATGAGTTCAGTCCAAGGCCAGCAGGCTAGAGACTCCAGAAGAGCTGATGTGTCACTTCGGGTCCAAAGGCAGGAAAAAATGGATAGAATCCCATGGACAGAGGAGCATGGAGGGCTACAGCCCATGGGGTCACGAAAGAGTTGGACACGACTGAACAACTAACACACACACACACACACACATACACACACACACACACACACACACTTTACAATACTGATTCAAAGAGCCATCTGCTTAGTGTTTTCCTTACTCAACTTTATAATCAATAGGGCTTTGTTTAGCATTTAAGAGGTGCCAAGGGCTACTCAGCTGTGCGTGATAAGAGAGCTTATTTAACAGTCTGGATTTGTTTGTCATTTAACTTTAGGCCATGTCTCTGTGAAGTCCAGCCTGGCTTACCTGGCACAGAAGTAGAAGTGGGCAAAAAGCCAGCCCTGAGCCAGCC